CTCGGAAAGCGTTGGGCTCCTTCCCTTTAGATCACATTGGCATAGAAGCTCTATGAGGGCAGGAACTGTGACGTCCTTTCTGCCCCCTCCCCCAAAGGTCTTGTAAAATAATTGGGGGAAGGCCAGGAAGAAGTGGATGATTTGGTATAGAAAAGAGCACCCAGTCTACGGCCATACCACCCTGAACGCGCCCGATCTCGTCTGATCTCGGAAGCTAAGCAGGGTCGGGCCTGGTTAGTACTTGGATGGGAAAAGAGCACCCAGCCTGCAAATTGGTGATGCAGGGGAGTTAATCCATCTAAGTTATGGGCTAGGGTACGAGAGGAGAACAGCTGCAGTGGAATCCAGGGGAGGGATGATGGACTTAAGGGGCAGTAGGGCTAGAAAGGAGAAACATTTGAGGTGGGTTTAGGAGAATTAATGGGATTTGCAGACGGATAGAAAGGATGGATGGAGAGGGAGGAATCAAGAAGTTCCCTGAATGGTTTAGTAGTGCTATGTACTGAAATGGGGGAAACTAGAGGAGAAATAGGTATGGGGTAAGGGAATAAAGTGTTCTATTGTGTGGTTTATGATGCAATGTGCAGCTGTCATCTATAAAGATGGGTCTAGGAGTCTGGAGCTCAGATAACACACACATGGGCTGGAGATGTGAATTGGGGGCATATAAATGCTATTTACCATACTAGAAATAAACGAACTCACTTATGGTGAGAAGTAAAGCAAGAAAAGGCAGGCCCAGGGCAGAGTCCTGGAGAATGCAAATACTTGAGGTTCAGGCCCTGCAATGGGGAGATAACTGGCCAGAGAGGCAGGAGGCAGACCAAAGGGATCCCAAGAAAGGACAGCATTTCGGGAAGGCTGGAATGATCAGTTGTGCCAAGTGCTGCAGAGAGAAGAGAGGTGTGGCTGTGCATGGGAGAAGTTGTACGTGAACTTGACAACAGTTTTGGTGGAGGGTGGGGACAGATGGAGAAGCAGAAGGGGAGGTAGTATGTGCAGACAAGACTTTCAAAAAATTGGGGGTGGAATGCAGGGGACAGAGGAGGTGGGTTTGAGGGATTTATTTGTATAGTTGAGGACACAAGAACATATTTGTGTTGCTATTGGGAATGATCCAACAGAGTAAGAGAAATCAACTGACCCCAGAGAGAGAGAGAGAGAGAGAGAGAGAGAGAGAGAGATTGATGGTGACTCACGGAAGGGAGGCCCTGGAAAGAGAGGGGTATATGAGGTCCGTGGTTAAAGGCACAAATCCGACCAACTGAAAAGAGTACCTGTGCTACAGCGTGAGACCCAGGGCCAAGAGCTCTGTGGCAGAAGGAATGACCACATGGTTCCAGGGGCCACTGTTGCTTAGCAACCTGTGTTCAGTAAAATGTTTCAACTGAATTCCTAATTAACGGTCATTTCAACTTACTAACGGTTCCTGTTACTGGGGTGCACACTCTGCTTCTTTCCCTCTCCCAAAGTCTTCAAACTCTTTTGTTGAAATGCTCTAAAACTGATGGAAAGCTTAAATTTCTACTTTCTTGTACTGTTGATACATGTATGCTTCAAGATGTGAAAACTGGGGACTCTCACGCAATCTTGGAGGGTGCCAAAGAATGCGGGATACAGATCTCCAGTTCAGAGCTCTCCAATGAAGTCCAACTGCCTTCCTGCCCTCTTCCCCACAGGCATCTTCGACTAAGTAGAATCCTTAATACCTTCTATTCAACCACAGAACCTCATTCATTCATGCCACAGTTTTTAACTATTAGAGAACATGCTTCCAGCATCTATCCATTTGACATGCCTTCCCAGAGTCATTCTGGATTCCTCACTCTCCCCACTCTGTACAGTTAATTACTGCCTCCAACACATTTCTCAAAAATTCTACTTTTCTGCGTGCCCTCTGAATCTGCCCTGGTCCAAGCCACCATCATCCTTCATTGGGATCGTTACGAGAGGCTTCTAACTGCTGCTTCTCTCAATCCATCTCCAATCCATTCTCCACACTGCAACCAGAGAATGGTCTTTTAAAGCCTAATCAAATCAATTTACTACCCCGCTTAAAACCTTCAAAGGTTTCCCATCACATTCTTCTGCCAAGAGCTGTTCGCCACCCTCCCTAACTTCTGTGTCTCTGGAAGGCCTTTTCCCCAATGACCTTCCTATCCTAACTGGTTACTTCTCATCAGGCAAGTTATAACCCCTTCTAGGCACTCCCTTCTCTAGCCTCCATCACAGCACCCTGCCATGTACCTTCTCAGCTCAATCAGACATTACGTTTTCACTGTCTTCCTGCAGGAGGCAGTGAACTCCATGTGGATGGACAGAGATGTTCACCTATGTCTTCCCAGAGTCCAGCACTGTGCCAGGCACGCAATAAATAAATATTTGTTGAACAGCATGATTTGTTTTGAGCATATTCCCTGCCCGTAAAGTTTATGGTTGTACTTTTTATTTTTTTTAAGTAAGCTCTATGCACAACATGGGGTTTGAACTCATGACCCCAAGATCGAGTTGCATGCTCTACCAACTGAGCCAGCCAGGTGCCCCTCTGGTTGTACTTTGAAAATTAATTAAAGGTTAAGCAACATATAAAGGGGATTCTTCTTGGCTGTTTTATCCTTCTCGTTGCTGTCCTTCTGGTGCCTAACAGGATGATGATAACCACCATTGACTGCGCCCGGTGTATGGCAGGCACTGCCTGTTAATATTATTTCTAGTTCTTACAACCCAATGAGATGACCCTATTATTTCTACTGTACAAAGTAAAACCTAGACTCTGTTTATCATGCTTGATGTTGAATCTGGTTGGTTTGAAATATTTGGTTCATATTTCATTTGAAATCATGGAATTTTTCAAGTTGAATGAGATGAACTGAATCCAGTTTATTTGGTGAAGAAAGTGAGGCCCAAGAGGGAAGGCTGAAGTCTCTTCATGAAGGAATGGGGCCCAGAACCCTTTTAGTGGCAAAACAAAACAGTTCTCCAGGGTCAGAACAGCAAGCCACCTAATCCAGTGCTCTGCCTTTAAGAAGCAGCCTGTTGTAATCCTTCAAGTCTTATCTCTTATCTATTATCTATTATTAATAAGACTTATCTAGATAAGTCTTATTATCAATCTCTTTAGTCACTGATCCTAGTATATGCTAGGATCTGTTCTCGGCTCTGGAAATACAGTAGAGAACGAGACAGGCTAAGTCCCTGCCCTTGTGCCGCTTACATCCAGTGGTGGGAGATAGACAATAAAGAAATAAACAAATGAACAAGATAATTTAAGACAGAAACAAGTATTATAAAGAACTATGAAATGGGTGAAGGGATACAGAGTGAGGGGAGGGAAAAGCTACTTTAAATAAGATCCCTAAGGAGGTGACTTTGAGCTGAAATTTGAAAAATGAAGAGGCATCCAGGATAGCAACAGAAAGAATGTCCCACACAAAGAACATCAAGTGCAAAGGCCCTAAGGCAAATTCAAGCTTGGCAGTCCAGAACAAGAAGTGAGTGGACCGATGCAATGAAAGGTGGAGATGGTAGTACAGGAGCAGGTTGAAGAGAAAGCAAAGGGTCTTTCAGGGGCTGGTGGAATGTTTGAATTTTATTCAAAGTGCAAGGGGAAGCTAGTAGAGGTTTCTAGCAAGAGGATGAACATGATCTGGCTTATGATTTAAAAGATCGCCTGTATGGATTAAAGAAGGTGAAAACTCAAACAGGGACCGTTGGGAGGGCTGTTGCAGTGAGCTGGTGGCTTCTATTTGCTGGGTAGTGGTGGAGGAGTACAGGCTATATTTTGGTTGTAGAACCAACAATTCTGGTTGATAGCATGAATATGGGATTGGTAGTAGAAGGGGTTGAAGAAAGAAAAAATCAAAGACTTTCACGTCTACGTGGTGGACCGCAAACTGAGACATATTTTTAATATATTCAGCCTCCACTTACTACATTTAGATTCTTTTTTTTTCTTTTGTCTATTTTTTTAAGGTTTTTGTTTTGTTTTTAGTAATCTCTACACCCAGTGAGGCTGGAAGCCACCACTCTGAGATCGGGTCCCACCCTCCTTTGACGGAGCCAGCCAGGCACCCCTACATTTAGATCTTAATTAATTAGAGCGGAGCATAGCACGGGGAAAGAATCTGAGCTAAACCTTAAATTGCAAACGTGTGCGATCTCGGAAAGAGCTTCTGTTTCATCTTTGATAGGGTGATTGGCTCTCTCCAGATTTGAGCTCTTTGTAAATCTCACCGAAGCACCTAGAACTGAGTGTTTAAGGAGGTTGTGGGACATCCAAAATGAGTGAGGCGGAGTGCCTCATATTCGAGGTTTTAGTCAGGCGATGGTGATGGAGGGGCAGCGTGGCTGGATTTTGAGCATGCGAGACATTCATGGCGCTGGGCATAAGAGCATTCCAGTTTCTGCCTGAATTGGAAATGAGCCTCTCTGCGAGACATCCTGGACCAAGGGCACCTTAAAACTCTTCTAATCAGGGACGCCTGGGTGGCTCAGTTGGTTGGGCAGCTGCCTTCGGCTCGGGTCATGATCCCGGCGTCTTGGGATCGAGTCCCGCATCGGGCTCCTTGCTCGGCGGGGAGCCTGCTTCTCCCTCTGCCTCTGCCTGCCATTCTGTCTGCCTGTGCTCGCTCTCTCTCCCTCTCTCTCTGACAAATTAAAAAAACAAAAACAAAAAAAACCCTCTTCTAATCAGGAAGAATGCGATGTCATTCCTGGTGCCTGGAACAGCACCTATGTGCTCAATAATTGTTTGATAAAGAATTGGGTAGGGGCGAGAGGAGGAGGTTAGCGTACAGAAATGAGCTCTGCCCCAGCGCGCAGGGATTTTCACATCGCTATAGCAACGTCCGCTTCCACGCGCACCCACAGGAGAACTACAAGTCCCATAAGCGCCCGCGGCTTCCCCGCCCCTAGGGCCAGGGGCGCGGGCCAGCGCGGAACCGGCTTTTCCTCCTTCCTGCAGTGTGATTGGCTCGCGGCTCTGGGAGGCGGCCAATGACTGCGCTGAGGAAGAGCCGCGAGGCCAATATGGCTTCCTGCACCTGGTGACGGTTGAAGAAACGGTGTTAGGTCTCATGGAGAAGACTCGGGGCGTCGAGGTGAGAGGGAGAGGATTTATCGTGACTGGGAAAGGGAACCCCGAGAACCTCGCACGTGGGGCCGATCTTTAGGTCTTTTAGCGACGGCTGGAGGGTGGAGAGTGGAAAGATGGATAAACTGAGGTAGTTAGGTTGAGCAGGGCCAGAGGCGATTGGCGTTGCCTTTTGCGCTCATACTGCCGGGGCCGACGTCTGGCGGGTAGTTCAGGGCGGAACAGCCTCTCTGGCCTCCCTGGAAAGGGAACTGGGTTCAGGATCTGAGGGCTCCTGAATTTTCTTTGTCCTCCCTCTCTCGTGGTCGTTTCTTGGGGGATTAGGGGGCCAGTGACATCCTGGTGGGACGTGAGGGAGAGGAAAGTTTCGTAAAACTACGTGTCTGGATCGGTCACGTTCATTATCGCCCAGTATACTCACAACAATCCTGTGTCACTGTTTCGCTGTAACGGTTTAAGTAGCCAAGGCTCGCAGACAGGTGGTGACTCCCCAGGAAGGCCATACAGCTGTAAAGCGAAGGAGATGGGCACTCAGTCTTGCAGGCTCCAAAACTTTTCCCGCTGTCCTATAACCTGTCACCCACTCATCCTTGAGTCATTTGGCTTCTGGTCACCTTATATTTAAATTCGGTGTCTTTTCTGCTACATTTGGGCGTGTAGTTGTAAACATAAAATGAAATAGCTCAAAAATTCTATAAGGGAAATGGAGGCTAAGAATAATAGTCCACGCTTTTAGAGCTGTCGCTAACTGCTGGAAACAGAACTAGGCTTTACATATCTCAGTCTTCATTCTAGTCATCTAAAGAAGGCTTGCTATTACCTACGTTGTACTGATGAAGGCAAGGTTCAGTACATGGCACAAAATCACAGTTAAGTGGTAGAGCCAGGATTCAAGCCCAGGCAAATCTGGTTTGAAAGCCCAGGCTTCTAGCCAGTAATAATTGCCAACATGTATCGAACACTTGCTACTGTTTTGAGCACTATACTTGCATTAATCCTTATTTCTCCCTCAAAGCTTCTGAAAGAGGTGGTATCCTCATTTACAGATGTGGGAACCGAGGCCAGAGAGATTGACTTGCTGTAGGTCATACAGCTTGTCGGCACTAGAGATGGTAATTGAGCCCTGGTTTGGGACCTTTTCTCCTAAGTGCCAGGTAGATTGATATACAATATCTCATTTACATTTCACATCCTGTGAGCTAACTACTTTTCCTATTTCATAGATGAGAAAGTTGAGGCCCAGAGGGATTCAGTGACTTGCCCAAAGACTGCACCTAGTTAGGATCAGAGCGGAGTCCAGAGCTATGGTATATACTACTGTGGTCTAACTAGTGCGTCATCTGTTTCCCAGATCCTCCTTAGAGCAGTCTGCATTCCAAATTAACTTTTCTGTGGCTGTAATTGTTTCCGAATTGAGATTGTTTTGGTGTACGTATGCTGAAGAGAGAAGAATGATTTTCTAATATACATCTCCCCCAGAAAGTCTTCATGAGATAACTTAGAGTATTTTCACATCATTGTATTCTATGTGAATCATGTTAAAATGTCATCATCTACAAAGCCACAGGAGGAGCTTGGTGAATTCCAGTACCATTTTCTGTCTTGTTAAGCTATTCTGATAAGTTGCAGTTAAGAATTGTGTAAACAAGAGTGATGATCCTGGTGTTTGCCAAAGGAGTATTTGATTCTGCCTGACACTTAGCCCAAAGGTGTTGACCCAAGAATTGGAAAGTGAGCTGACAGCAGACCTGCAGCCTTCTTCCTCATACACTAGCCAGACCTGATTTCCTCCTGCCTGGTTTGTGTCATCCTTCCCCTAGGAGACTCCATCTTCAGAACCTATGGAAGAGGAGGAGGAAGAGGAGGACGACTTGGAGCTCTTTGGTGGCTATGACAGTTTCCGGAGCTATAATAGCAGTGCAGGCAGCGAGAGCAGCTCCTACCTCGAAGAGTCAAGTGAAGCAGAAAATGAAGATCGGGAAGCAGGGGAGCTGCCCACCTCCCCCCTGCATTTGCTCAGCCCTGGGACTCCCCGCTCCTTGGATGGCAGTGGTTCTGAGCCAGGTGCTTTTAGAGTGTCCCCTGAAGACGGGGAGGTTTCAGGAGGCTAGGGAGGAAGAGGAGGATATAGGCCATGTGGGCAGAGCTGTCCAGGTGTAAAAGCTGCTTGATCTCATATCTAAGGGCCTATGAGAGAGATAGAAGTGCCCCAAGGGGCATTTCCTGCTGCAGTCTGATTTGAAATCGCAATTTCCTTTGTTCTTTCATACGACTAATACTTATATGGCACACGTTAGATGCCAGTCATTAATATGGTGCTGCTTTTACATTGGTGTGAATAGCTGGTTGATTTTTAAGCCTAGAATTTGAGAAGAACACCTAAAATGTTCTGATTTACTCTCCGGGAAAGGACAAGAAATAGCGTGTGGGTTGGATGTGGTTGGTGGTGGGGGGTGGAAAATACAGAATAAAGTGACTTTCTGGGGAGAGAATTACTGATGAGAATCCCCATAGAGCATCTGGAAGCCAGTGAATTTCTGAGCTGTGCCGCTTGGACAGCTGCTGGATCCCTGTGTCAGGCCCGCTGTGTATGGACTGCCTATGAGGAGAGACAGGCTAGATGTCTGTGAGGACATACCTGTCCCTTAGTGCTTGCCTTCTTTAGAAGAGTGATCTAATACTCTGCCACTTGACTTTTCCTTTCCATTGACCTATCTTCTCTTCCTCCCCCTACCCCCCCCACCCCGCCCACCATGCCACCGCCTTTTCTCCCTTCTTCCAGCCATTCTCTTAGAATCTTAGAACTCTGGAACTAGAACCATTAGAAACCATTGAGTCCAGATGTCTCTATCATGGCTGTGTGTTAGGATCACCTGGGGAGCTTTTTTTTTTTTTAAGATTTTATTTATTTATTTGAGAGAGAGCATGAGAGGGGAGAGGGTCAGAGGAAGAAGCAGACTCGCTGCTGAGCAGGGACGTGTGGGCCTCCCCCACCCCCACCCCCACACAGGACTTGATCCTGGGACTCCAGGATCATGACCTGAGTCGAAGGCAGGCCCTTAACCAACTGAGCCATCCAGGCGCCCCACCTGGGGAACTTTTAAAAATTACAGATGCCTATATCCCATCACAGACCAGTTAATTAGAATCTCAGGCTTGGGTAAATTTTTTTTTTTTTTAAGATTTTATTTATTTATTTCACACAGAGAGAGAGAGAGAGATCACAAGCAGGCAGAGAGGCAGGCAGAGAGAGAGGGTAAAGCAGGCTCCCCGCCGAGCAGAGAGCCTGCCTGATTCGGGCCTCGATCCCAGGACCCTGAGATCACGACCTGAGCCGAAGGCAGAGGCTTTAACCCACTGAGCCACCCGGGCGCCCAGGCTTGGGTAATTTTTAAGCTCCTCAGGTGATTCTAATATGTCAGGATGGAAACACTGATCTAGTTCAGTCTCTTTATAGATGAGAAGAAAAGCCACAGAAGTTAGGTGAAGTAGGCACTTTTTTTCTTCTCGTCTTCCTCTTTATAGACTTTCCAACACTCACTGTTGCCCTGTGGATTTTCCTTAACTCCATATGTTGACATATAGCCAGGTGATGCCAGGCAGCTTATCTTAGACAAAACAGATTCAGGCGGACACATACCTCCTGCTCCTGTTCCAGTCCTGTCAGCCTGACTGGGGGGCTGGGACTCACCTGGTTATTGCACTGTTCCAGGTTTGAAGGGCCCGTTATTTTGTTTGATTTGGGGTGATCGTATTAGGTGGGTCACGTCCTAAGTTCTCTTCCCAGCTGTCTGTGAGATGTGTGGTATCGTGGGTACAAGGGAAGCCTTCTTCTCCAAGACTAAGAGATTCTGCAGCGTTTCCTGTTCCAGGAGTTACTCCTCCAACTCCAAGAAAGCCAGTATCTTGGCCAGATTACAGGTGAGAGACCATCACTTGGAAGACCCTTCCTGGGGTCCTGGGAGCCAAGACAGGAGCAGCCAACTGGCTGATGGCAAGGAGCCAAGAGGGCTTGGGAGGAGCTTGCTTGTGGCTGTCTGAGGTTGTAAGTTTCCTGCTATTTGTTATGCTCTGCAATTTAGAAGGCAGAGGAATCCATTTATGGAGCTTGTTGAATTGCAGATTTCTAGAGCTGCCCTCATTTCCCAGCTTCACTCCCGGCATAGTCTGATGTGTTTAGTATGTTTAAACAAGAGCCTTGGGGGAGGCCGATGCCCTTGGTCTTTGCTTCCTAGCTTTCATAAATGCTCTGAAGGGAAGCTAGGAGACAGGCATATATTTCACCAACCACGGTTGAGTTTAGGAAGTTGATGCCTTGTCTCTGACTCCAAGTCATAGGCAGCTACCTAGAAAGTCTTTTTTTTTTTTTTTTTTTTTTTAAGAGAGACCGCAGTAGTGAGTGGTGGGGGGTTGACCGGGGACTGCAGAGGGAGAGGGAGAGAGAGAATCTTAAGCAGGCTCCACACCCAGTGCAGAGCCCAACTCAGGGCTCAGTCTCACGACCCTGAGAGCATAACTTGAGCCAAAATCAAGAGTCGGTCACCCAGTGGACTGAGCCACCTAAGCACCCCTATAAATGGAAGGATTCTTAAAGAGATGTGTCGCGTAACCCACACATTAGCTGAGCAGTGTGCTAAGGTTCAGAGAGGAAGAATGACTTACCTAAGGTAGTTCTGTTGGAAGAGCAGCAGAGCTGGAACTGGTCTGTAATTGCAGGTGCCTGACTTTGTGGTTTCCTGGTACACAACACTGGTTCTCAAACTTTCCTGCACATTTGGATCACCTGGAGGGTGTTTAAAATACTGATGCTTGGGGCACCTGGGTGGCTCAGTCAGTTGAGCGTCTGCCTTGAGCTCAGGTCATGATCCTGGGGTTCTGGGACTGAGTCCTGGGCAGGCTTCCTGCTCAGCAGGCAGTCTGCCTCTCCCCTGTCCCCACTCTACTTGTGCTCGCTCTTTCTCAGATAAATAGTCGTAAGAGGCATACACTCCATCGACTGAGCCCTCCAGGTGCCTCCTGGACACAGGGACTTTAAAATATATTTTTTTAAGATTTTATTTATTTATTTGACAGAAAGAGATCACAAGCAGGCAGAGAGGGGGAAGCAGTCTCCCCGATGAGCGGAGAGCCCGATTCACGCCTCGATCCCAGGACCCTGAGACAATGACCTGAACCGAAGGCAGAGGTTTAACCCACTGAGCCACCCAGGCGCCCCTGGACATAGACTGGTCTCGCCGGGTGACTAATACGTAGCTCAGCTTGAGACTCACTGCTCTGACATTTGAAAGTCACAGTGTGCCAGGTCTTCTGCTTAGTACTTCATACAGTTTATCTCACATTTGTGAGATAATTGTTTCCCTCATTGCATGGATTTTAGTCAGGGCATGGAAAAATCTCTCTCCTCAGTGAGCTAATAATAGTATTGTTAATAGCTACAATTGGGAGTACTTGCTGAGCGTTTGGACTAACTCCAACCAATAATCTCTTAAAAATGATTTTTTAAAAATTCCTATTTAAGATTTTTTTAAGTAATTTCTACACCAAACATGGGGCTTGAACTTACAACCCCAAGATCAAGAGTTGCATGCTCTACTGACTGAGCCAGCCAGGTGTCCCTTAAATTCCTATTTTTAAGGCTGAAACATTTTCAGTAACTTACACAGAGGTATACAAATGAAATTGAAGAGCCAGGATTTGATCCCAGGTCAGTGTGGGATTTAAACTCACATTTTTACTTCACTGATCTTTTTAAATTATCTGGTGGGGGGCGCCTGGGTGGCTCAGTGAGTTAAGCATCTGACTCTTGATTTCCGCTCAGGTCATGATCTGATCAGGTCATGGGTTGTGAGATGGAGCCCGTGTTAGGCTCTGTGCTGAGGATAGAGTCTACTTAAGATTTTCTCTCTCTCTCTCAAAAAAAAAAAAAAAAAAAGATTCTCCCTCTCCCTCTGTGCCCTCCCCCACTTTCACTCTCTGCCCCCTCCCTATAAAATAGATATTAAAATAAAAATTAAAATTCTCTGGGCCTTTCTGAGCAGTGCTTAACTTAAAAATTATAGACCAGACTAGTGGCCTTTCACCTATGGGGATGCCCCCATTGGAGCACCTGATGAAAGCCATGGACCTGTTCCAGAACATTCCTGTATGTGTACAAAAGGTTGCCTCCTGATTGTTCATAGACCTCTCTGAAGCCCACTCTCTGCAATAGTCTGTAGGAGCCTCAGAGGAAGGAGATGGCTGAGAGTTGAAGGCAGGAGGGAAAATTCCAGGAGAGGAAGCAGAGGCTGAAAAGATAGAAAAGATAGAAGGAGTGTCCCTCCCTGCCCTGTAGCTCCTCTGATCAGGTCCTCCCTCCTTGAACAATAGCTAAGCACTTACTGAGTGTTGGTGTTTACGCAGTAACTCTCATCCTTGCCACGCCCCTCTGAGTTGAGATTGTTATTGTTATCCACTTGATTTACAAATGAAAAAACTAAAGAGGAGTAAGTGGACGAACACCCACGAACACCCACACCGGGGTTTGAACCTAGGCAGTAGCCCTGTTCTCTGCTATTGGGCTGCACACTTGTTCTCCTCCCTCCAGGGAAAACCACCGACCAAGAAAGCCAAAGTCCTGCACAAGGCAGCCTGGTCTGCCAAAATCGGAGCCTTCCTCCACTCACAAGGGACAGGACAGCTAGCAGATGGGACACCGACAGGGCAAGATGGTAAGACAGCAGGCCACTGGTGCTCAGGAAGCTGCTGGGGGTCGGCGGGAGTGGGGTGCCCATTGTGGGATGGCTCTGCCTGGGAGCCAGGAATGGGAAAGATGGGGCAGCCAGAGACTGCCCTGGCCGAAGCCCCGTGTGGATTGCCCCATCGGTATGTGGTATGGAAATTACCCCAGAAAATCCCTTTAGTCACTCCAAGTGCCAGGACCCCTACTCTTGGTAATTCAGAAGCCCAGAATTAGCTTCTTTTCTCTTGTATTGCTTTTGGCCCTTTGACTTCTGTTTCCCTTGGGCAGTGGAGCCCCCTCTCTGGTTTGGAGAGGAGTTGTGGGATAAGGAAAGGAACCTTTTTCTTGGAGTGTGTACAGCATGTTCTAAGCATATGAGCATTAAGCAGCTCTATTCTAGGTGGTCCGAGTTTCTCACTGCGGCTGAGCTCCACAGGCAGCCTGGAGGGGCCTAGGTGTGCGCCCCTCCCACCCATTCAGATAAGCTGTGGCCAATGAAAGGTTGGGGGAGGTCTAAGGAATTTAAGCCCAAAGGTCTTTGGATTTCCTTTTCTTTTCCGGGGAAGAAAGATCAGACATTTCCCTTGAATGTTTCCTCTACTCCTGAAAGTCTGTCACCCTTTGGATAAGGTCCAGCCCTGTTCTGATGGCCACTGGTGGGGCAGGTATGGGGCTGCCCCGGTGGGGAAGGACCTGTTTCTACAAGCTTATGGGGGCCAGGTTCCTAGCAGGGCTGCTGACTTTGAACTCTTCCAACTCTTCCTCATTCTCTGCAGCGCTTGTCCTGGGTTTCGACTGGGGGAAGTTCCTGAAGGATCACAGTTACAAAGCTGCTCCCGTCAGCTGTTTTAAGCATGTGAGTGCCCTGGAGATTAGGGGAGGGAGAGCTGGGAACTGGGGCACTCGCCGCCCCTCTCACCCCTGCCAGCCTCCTAAGCATTCCAGGCTGGGCATTGGCACCAGGGAGAGAACAGTGGTGAGGTCCGGGTGAGCGCAGTCCAGCTTTGCCACTCGCTCCGGTTTAAATTTCTGTCCACCTTTTCCTGGTGGCGTCCCACAAATCCTCATTGAGGATTTCTGGCACCGGGCTTCCCTCTGAGGAACTTTGTGCTAGAAATCCTTTTTCTTTTTCTTTTTCTTTTTTCTTCCCCGTTGTTCCCTGTTTTCCCACTAAAAGCTTGTTCTGAGCTGCCCTGGGTCCCCTGGCCCCAGGAGCAGGTCGGGATCCTTCTGGACCGCACTTCTGCCCAAAGCAGCATAGAAGAGTGAGGCCCCAGGGGGCTGGGCCTGGACTGGAAGGACAGCAGAGATGCTGCCACCTAGAGCGGCACTCATGTCTGGTCTTTCAGGCCAGGAAGTGGAGGAGGAGGCCTCTTTACTCTTGGAGTCCTCTGACCAGAGTCCCATCCAAGTAGCTGCTGAACTCTGGGGAGCGCTGTGGACAGTGGAAGGTTGGGAAGTTTGACTTCTCCAGACTTCTCTGCATTGCTGTTGAAGGCACCCCCCTTTCCCAGTGGGACACTCTTTTGCCCTGAGTTTTCACTGCAGGGAGTTACATCGTCCTTGCGTTCAGCGTACCCGATTCCATAGGCTCTGCCAAACGGGGCCTTGTGTGCCTGGTGACATAGCCCTCTCTAGGTTCTGTGTGAGACCCCTTCTGTGGCCAGAGATGTGGGGTGGATAGCCCGATTAGCTCAAGCCAGGGTGAGAAGGGAAAAAGGGTTGATTTTCTCCAAAGGAGAATCAGGGTCCTGTTGGTGCCAAGTGAGGATTAGATAACGGGGAAGGCAAGCAGGAAGGTGTGCTGGTGCATCCCAAGAGAAGACAGGTTGGAGAGGTGGAAAAAGAATGTACCAGAAGTAGTGCGTGAGTGCCAGCATGGTGATAGCTTAGAGACCACTGCCCAGGCTTGAGTGACTATCGAAAGAGGTGGTATTTGTGCCAAGGACAGTCCCGCGTGTGGCGAGCAGTAGGTGGTGTTGGGCCAGTGTCGTCACTGGCGCAAAACTGGCACAGGTGTGAGGTGCCCAGGATGACAGAGTGAGCTGGTCCACTAAGAGCAGCACTCGGGGCGACTCACTCGGGATGTCTGGCTATTGCCCCCGCCCTCCTGTCCTGTCCCCTGCTACCCCACCCCCAGTGTCCTCCCTCAGCTCTCTGGGACTCTCCTCTCTTGTCTTACTCATGTCTCCATCCCTAGCCCCATACCTGGCTTGCCACATGCAGCGAGTGACTTGCACCAAGGTGCAGAGAAGGACGTGATGGCTCATGAGGCCAGTCACTCTCCCCTGTCCGCTTGGGCAGCTCACTGTCGTCCCCCCCCCCCCGAATGCTCTTGTGCCCACACAGGTCCCACTCTATGACCAGTGGGAGGATGTGATGAAGGGGATGAAAGTGGAGGTGCTCAACAGCGACGCGGTGCTCCCCAGCCGGGTGTACTGGATCGCCTCCGTCATCCAGGCCGCAGGTGGGGACTCCTGCCACGGCAGGGTCTGGGTGTGGAGAGTGACATCTCCACATGGGTGGGGATTGTTGCAGGCAGAAATTGGCTTCATAAAACAAACAAAAACGCCCACCTACTAGAGTTCTGCCAATCCCTTCTTGGGATTCTCCTACTTTTCCTGGCTTCAGAGAGGCCACAAAGCATGGCAAGTTTGTAAATTCCCCTTTTTAAGGTTTTTCCCAGGAACAATCAGGTTGCAGAAGATTCATTCTTCCTGCTATGCCATACTGCTTTCTGAGTATGGGGCATGGGTTTATTTTGATTGTGACTGTTGTGGACAACAGGGACCCCTCTTGCCCGGAAGGAGTTCTTAGAATAGGAGTCGGGTTTAGGCTTGAGAAGAGGGAAGGCGTGAGAATACACCTTTCCTCATTCCTCCCTCCCTCATGGGTGCCCTCCTCCTTTCAGGGTACCGGGTACTGCTCCGGTATGAAGGCTTTGAAAATGACGCCAGCCATGACTTCTGGTGCAACCTTGGGACAGTGGACGTCCACCCCATTGGCTGGTGTGCCATCAACAGCAAGATCCTGGTGCCCCCACGGAGTGAGTTGATGAGAACATTCCCTGTCACGGTTCCTGCAGAGCCCTTGGTGGAAGGGGAACCCTTTGTCTGAGGTTAGACCAGAGCAGAACCTACTTGCCAGCCTGCTTCCTATCCTCCCTGGTCTCAGAAGCCCCAGGACAGATCAAGGTTGTACTGCTGGTTTTAGAAGCTGTGATGGCTGGCCGGACAAGGCAGAACCAAGTGGCTCTGGCGCCCCCTGTGGGTGGGAGCGTTGTCAGGCTGTGTAACCAGGATTCTGCTGTGTCTCCACAGCCATCCATGCCAAGTTCACCGACTGGAAGGGGTACCTCATGAAGCGGTTGGTGGGCTCCAGGACACTTCCCGTGGATTTCCATATCAAGGTCTGGCAGCGAGCCCTTTGGGTCTCCTAACTGATCTTCCTACACCCTTCATTTCCTCTGTCCCTGCTACTCACTGGAGTGTTTTCTCAAAGACGCCCTTGTTTGCCAGTCTTTAGCAGCTTCACGTTTCTCCAGGAAGGATGTCGGTTGTTGTCTGCCTCCCCAGCCTAGTGTCAGCCTCGCCCCTGACCCAGACTCTGCTCCAGCCATGTTAATCACGTTGCTTTGTCTCCTGTTTCCTCCTCCAGAGCCTCACCTTTGCTCACAGCATTTTTCAGGAACATTTGTTCCATGGATTTCGTTAAGTACTTGTGTACAAAGAACTGTGGGGATACAGAGCCTGTATTCAGGACTCTGCAGTCTGGCAGAGGAAATGAAGTCAAGCAGAGCAATCATAAAATAGCCTGGGTTCTAAACCAGGGGTGTGCCTCCGAGTCATCTCTGTGGCTTTCCATGTTTTATTTTTTTATTTCTGAAGATTTTATTTATTTATTTGAGAGAGACACAGCAAGAGAAGGAATACAAGCAGTGGGAGTGGGAAAGGGAGAAGCAGGCCTCCCGCCTAGCAGGGAATCCAATGTGGGCTTGATCCCAGGACCCTGGGATCATGACCTGAGCCAAAGGCAGACGCTTAACAACTGAGCCACCCAGGCACCCCCCTCTGTGGCTTTTAATTTAAATTTTATAAAACTTACTCCTTAAAGAATCACACACACGGTAAAAATTCAAAGGGAATACAAGAATACATAGTGAAGACTTCGTTTCTCCCTCCTCTAATACCCAGACCCGCTGTGGTGGGACTCACTCACCTAGGGGCCCGGACTGTGTCTGAGGTCTCCTGACCTGGATGCGCACAGCTCTGGTTCCCACGTTGCCTCCAAAAGCGACAGTGAGCAGGGGCCGCCTTGGCGCAGGCTTGAGCTGGCCCTGTGGCCTGAAGAGGAGCAGCTGTTAAGGAAGGCTTCCTGGAGGAAGTGGCATTTGAGTTCTCCCTTGATGAGTAGGGTGTGGGTGGTCTGGAAGCCACAAGTGGAAAGTAAGGATGGAAGAGGAGCTGGGGCCATCTCATCCAAGGCACGGGTCACCTGGTGAAGACGTTGCCACCTTGAGTCCTAGTCTTAGCTGGTGGAGAGTGATTTTATGGCAAGAAATGGTTCCAGCACCTGAAGGAAGCTTTCCCTGGTTTTCCCTAAAGTATAAATGATTTTTGCTCTATTTGAACTTGCTGGGTACTGTCCATTTGTTCTTTTATTTCTCTGTGTTTTGCTAATTTATCTTTTCATACTCTCTTTTTTATAAGATTTTATTTATTTGAGAGAGGTAGTGATGGTGAGCACAAGCAGGGGGGAGAGGAAGAAGCAGGCTCCCCGCTGAGTAGGAGCGCAATGTGGGGTCTGATCCCAGAATCCTGGGATAGAGACCTGAGCCGAAAGCAGATGCTAAACTGACTGAACCACCAAGAGGCGTCACGCTCTCTTTCCAACAAAACTATAATGTACAACTAAACTATAATGTCCAACAAAACTGTAACTGCACTCATAATGCCTTGCCCCGTGGGCAGATTCAGCAGGCGGAGCCGAGCACTCACTCTTCTCCAGCCGGCGCTTGTCCGAGCAGGAGGCGGCGACTGTGGCTTGGTGCGGCCGCCGGTTTTACCAAACTGGCCTCTCCTCCGCTTTAAATAAAATGAGCTTGATTCTGGGACATTTGGGGGGCTCAGTCAGTTAAGCATCTGGCTCTTGAGCCCAGCTCAGGTCTTGATCTCAGGGTCGTGAGCTCAAGCCCCACATTGGGCTCCATGCCTAGCATGGAGAAAAAAAAGAGGGGTGTCTGGGTGGCTCAAGTCAGTTAAGCAGCTGCCTTCAGCTCAGGTCATGATCCCAGAGTCCTGGGATCAAGCCCCACGTCAGACTCCCTGTTGAGCAGAGAGCCTGCTTCTCCCTCTCCCTCTGCCTGCCGCTCTCCCTACTTTTGCTTTCTCTCTGTCAAAGAAATAAAATGTTTAAAAAAAAAAAAAAAAGAGCTTGATTCTGGTTCCATGTGAGCCAGTCAGCAAGCACACGGTGACTCACTGTCACTTACCCAGTCCTACAGTGGATACAAAAGCAGGGCCTCTGAGGGTGAGGCGGGGGGCAGAGGGTAAAAGGTGGGGAGGGCTGTAAAGGAAGCTCTAGTCCAAACCCAGTTTAGTTCCTTTGATGCCTACAATGTGATAAATGCTGAGTGAAATGTTTAGTACACCCAGTGTAAATGTTTAGTACCACCAAGGCTGGGAGTGTACTGTGTGTTGGTCAGGTGAGAAAAAAATGTTGATTGAGCACTAACTGTGTGCCTGGTTCTGTGCTTGGAGCTGGGCCTGTAGAAGAGGGTCCTCCCAAGCCTGGCCTCCACCCCTGCGGAGCTCAGCTTCCGGGTGCGACTAAACAAAGAAGCCACAAAAGTGGTGTTGGGCTGTGGGCTGCCCTGGGTGGGCGGCAAGGAAAGGAACATGTTGGGAAAGGTTAGGAGGGGAAGGTGGAACCCCAGAGGAACCCCAGCCCAGACTTCACCCTGTGTCTCTCTCTGAAATGGGCCAATCAGGCAGTTGGTTTGGGCTTGTATTCCTGGCCTTGAGCTGATGTCTGACGGGTCTGTGGTTTAGGACTCTTAGCTTTGCCTGTTGGCCGATTTGTGACCTTGGAGATGCTCCCCCTCCTGGTGGACTTTGAAATAGCACAGCTTAGGGACACCTGGGAGGCTCAGTGAGTGGTTTAAGTGTCTACCTTCGGCTCAGGTCATGGTCCCAGGGTCCTAGGATCAAGTCCCACATCAGGCTCCTTGCTGGGCAGGGAGCCTGCTTCTCCCTCTGCCTGCTGCTCCCCCTGCTTGTGCGCACATTCTCTCTGACAAATAAATAAATCTTTTTATAAAAAAGTTCAAAAAAAAAAAAAAAAGCACAGCTTAGTCCTCACCTTGCCTAGGCTGGGGCTGGTCTTCCCGGGGCTGGAAAAGCCCTACAGAGCTTACTGTTCCCATTTTCCTACCCCAGGCAGGAAAGCACTGAGGTCACAGTGACCTGAAAGACTCTCCACCCTCCTACCCCCTCATCCGTGGCCTGTCATCAGGGCTCTCCAGAACAGCTTGTGGGCATCTTGGTCCCTGTCCCTTGCTGGGTCAGAGTGCAGTAGCCATTCAGAGCTGCAGCCCAGCGGGTTCACAGCTGTAAGGAGACGTACAGAGTCCCCAGGGGCCACTGCTCTCTGGACATGAGTGCAGAGCGTTCATAAGGCTGGACACTGGCACCAGTTTCACAGTCCAGCTCTGGCACTGGTGAAGCTGGGTGGGTGTGGGCAAGTCACTTGAGCCCTCTGAGGCACCTGTTTCCTTGGTCTGAAGTGGGTTTTATACCTCCCATCTTACTGACTGACTGGCATTTTGGTGCCCACCTTGGAAGCCTTGTGCTGTCCCTCCGTATCATCCTGGGGAATCGGGGGCCAGGGTCGAACCTGGTAGGACCCGAGGGCTCACCTGCCAGCTTCCTGGCTTAGGGATGGGTAAGGGCTGGCACAGGGAGGTGGCAGGGGTTGCCCCAGGACCCCAGCAGGCTTGTGCTCTAATGTTGCAGATGGTGGAGAGCATGAAGTACCCCTTCCGGCAAGGCATGCGGCTGGAGGTGGTGGACAAGTCCCAGGTGTCCCGGACCCGCATGGCCGTGGTGGACACAGTAATCGGGGGTCGCCTTCGGCTCCTCTATGAAGACGGCGACAGTGATGACGACTTCTGGTGCCACATGTGGAGCCCCCTGATCCACCCAGTGGGCTGGTCACGGCGAGTCGGCCACGGCATCAAGCTGTCAGGTCCGCTTTCAGGGCTGGGGCAGGAGCCCCTCTGCACCCCGCAGCCCCTGTGTGGTGGGGGTGACCGTCTCCAGCATGTGCATGGTGGTACCGAGGTCCAGAGAGGGTGCATGATTTGACCAAGGTCATTTAGTTTGTGAGGATTTTAAAGCACTTCGAACCTGGAGCCTACATGGCGTGGGAAGCATCTGGATCTTAAGGGTTCAGTAGCCCCTACAGAGAGCCCCTGACAGGTTCTGTCTTCTGGTCTAGGTGGGAGGGCGCGGGGTGCCCAGATACAGATTAGAGCCCATGCAGGGCAGCCCCACATTTCTAGGGAGGGGAGGGAGGTGGTCCTGTGAGCAGCCTGCAACTCCCTTCTCTCCCTTGCTCCCCTTACCATCTCCCCAAAAGAGAGACGCAGTGACATGGCCCACCATCCCACCTTCCGGAAGATCTACTGTGACGCTGTTCCTTACCTGTTCAAGAAGGTGAGCCACAGCCTTGGGCACTTCTCATCTCAGTCATAGGTGTGCTCCAGGCCTCACGCCCCCGGGTGTTCCTTTCCCTCCCTGTTTCCTTCCCCTCCCTGTTTCCTTCCCAGGCCTATGGCAGATGAGGCCAGCTCCCCCCACCCTCCACCTGGGCCGCCCAGATTCCCCAGCTGCCCCATTCCTTTAAGGTTCGAGCTGTCTACACAGAAGGTGGTTGGTTTGAGGAGGGGATGAAACTGGAAGCCATTGACCCCCTGAATCTGGGCAGCATCTGCGTGGCAACCATCTGCAAGGTAAGCCCGGGCCCGGCCCCGCAGCTTCTAGCGTGGCTTTTGGGAGCCGGCAGGGCGGCGCAGAGCCCTGCACTCGGCGTCCAGCCCCTCTTCCCCGCTCTGGCTGCTCGCGGAGTGCTGTGCTTATGTGAGTAGGAGTCTTACCTGCTCCTTGCTCAGAATCGGCTTCCCTGTTACCTCCCTGGGGGCCTTCCCACCACCACACGCCGTCTTCTTCAAGTGGCAACCCCGCCAGGAGCCGTAGCTGCTGACTTCGCTGCACGCCGCCGCCTCCCTTGCTGCTGTGGCCTAAGCAGCGAATGACTATGCCTGAGCCCCCGGGGACATGCTGGTTTGCACATCTAGCCAGTCTTCAGGCTGGAGCCATGTGCTCACCACTGAACACACTGGAAAAAAACAGCTGTAGTCCCTGTGGGAACAGCATTTGCTGTCTTATGAGGAAGGTAGAGAACCTCACAAGTATGGGTTCCGGCGGAAGCAGAAGCTCAGGGAAGGCTGACCTCCAACTCTGGTTGGCTCCTTCCACCTCGTGTCCCCACCGTAGCCTCCTTACCCTGGGATGGGTGGTGCCGTTCGTGATACCATGGTGTCTGCCTGCCCCTCCCCTCACTAGGTTCTCCTAGACGGCTACCTGATGATCTGCGTAGATGGGGGGCCCTCCACAGATGGCTCAGACTGGTTCTGTTACCATGCCTCCTCCCACGCCATCTTCCCAGCCACCTTCTGCCAAAAGAATGACATTGAACTCACGCCCCCGAAAGGTAAGCTGTCCTCACAGTTGGAAAGGGCAGTGTGTGCCCACAGGCCCAGATCTCTGTCCAAGCCCACACCACCAGCCATTAAACTGGGCTGACTTGGCTCCATGGCTGATGGGTATCTGGGTGAGTGGAGCTCCCACTTGTTCCTTTGGGCAGTGAACAACCTGTACTACAGGACCATGGTCTTATATAGCAGGTACCAGGCTGGGGAGGAGGGAAGAAGGCTGCTGGGGAGACTCTAGACTGGGTCCTGAAGCAGCTATCCTGTTTGGCTTGTGCTCCTCTCCTGGACTCCCTTCCGCCTCCCCTGCTTTCCCTCCACATCTACATTTCCTGCCCCATCAGGCTACGAGGCACACACTTTCAGCTGGGACACCTACTTGGAGAAGACCAAGTCGAAAGCAGCTCCATCGAGACTCTTTAACATGGTGAGGAGAGCCGGGAGGCACGGGGCCTGGGGCAGCCCTGCCCGCCTTGCCCGCTGTCAGCGGTGCTAACTCCACCCGCTTCTTCCTTAAGTCCGGACTGCGGAGATCAGCCACTTCAGGGGAGAAGCCCCAAACTCTGCCATAGGCATTCTGCCAGACAGTCCGGCCTGCTCCCTTCCCTGGAAGGGCTGGTGCTGGGGAGCAGTGGGATCACTGGCAAGGGACCCTTCCCCACAGGCACTCCGGGCCCACTGCCCCCTGGTTCAGCGCCGCTGGGGCAGGGAGCTGGCCGCCGTGGTCACCGCGTCTCCCCCACATCCCCAGGACTGCCCCAACCATGGCTTCCGGGTGGGCATGAAGCTGGAGGCCGTGGACCTGATGGAGCCGCGGCTCATCTGCGTGGCCACGGTGAAGCGGGTGGTGCACAGGCTCCTCAGCATCCACTTCGATGGCTGGGACAGCGAGTACGACCAGTGGGTGGACTGTGAGTCCCCGGACATCTACCCTGTCGGCTGGTGTGAGCTCACCGGCTACCAGCTCCAGCCACCTGTGGCCGCAGGTCTGGGCTCTTGCGGCCCCGGGGGACTCTTGACTTTCCTTCTCTTTTTCCTTCCTGCCAACCACTCCCCTGCGCCATGCCTGCCTCATTCTTTGGCATGAGACCGAGAAGTCTCCTGGACCACTTCTAGTGAAAGACTGGCCCTTGTGTCCCCACCTCCCGCTCCTGACTTGTCTGTCTCCCTCTCCCTCTGGCCTGCAGAGCGCCTTCCTTGATCTTGCCCACTCTGTCATATGCTCGTGCCCTTGTGCACCCAGGTAAACCACCCAGGCCCCTCGGAGCAGCCCGGGTGACAAGGGTGGGAAAAAGGGACGGCTGCTCTCCAGTCCCTCCCCCATTCTCATTGCCCAACTTTGGTTTTCCTTCTTGGGGTGTCCTGTGTGTAAGGGAGGCTAGTGAGGTGTGGGCAAGGGGTCTCGGGGTGTATCTGTACCGTGCCCTCTTCAAACTCTCCTCTTACCTCTTCCCCTCGTCTTTCAACAACAGAGCCGACCACACCTCTGAAGGCCAAAGAGGCCACAAAGAAGAAAAAGAAACAGTTTGGGAAGAAAAGTAAGTGATTCTCTGAAGCAGCCGGGCTGGTGTGGGACTTGGGATCAGCTGGGCCTTTGTCTCTGGGAGCAGGGGGTGGTCACCACATAGGTAGCGCTCTTCGTGGTCCCTCCGTCTCCTCTCCTTTGCCCTTTGGCTCCAACAGTCCTGTCAGCCTGTGTCTTAAGGGACCCAAGCACAAATAGGGGAGGCTTCAGTCTCTGGGAATGGTCAGGGTCCCGAGGAAAAAAGGCAAGAGATGGTATTTATAAGAGAGAAAAGGGGGAGGGATCCCCATCCCTGCTGCCCTGTGGTCAGAAGTCAGCACGACCCCGTCCATCCCACAAGCGGACACAACTGCTGTTTGAAAGTCAGATGTCCGGGAGGCTGGCAGTTTCTCCTCAAGCCTGTCGTTCCCTTGGGACCCTCAGGGGTGGGAGCTGCGGTGTCATTTCCCTAGGCAGGGCCCACTCAGATCTGGAGCCCTGTGCAGGCGTAGCTTGAGGGGACGGCAGGTGGGGTGGGTATGGAGGGGGCAGGTAAATCCGTCCTTCCGAGCTGCCAGCCTGTGGCAGTGAGATGCTCTCCGTGAGGGGGCACCACAGAGAGGAGAGGTTTCTGGAAACAGGACAAGGAGGAAGGCATGCGGTCCCTGGGCAGGATCAGGGTGACGTGAGGGTATGGAGCTGGTCACGTCCGCACTGGTGGGGCTGGGAGAGTCACTGCACAGGGGAAGAAGGGAGGGAAGCTCAGCAGGCACCCCAGGGGGGCAGGGGGGCATGGCTGGAACTAACCCCCTCCCGGGGAGACACTCTCTGAGGCTCAGGCACCTGCCCCTCTGCCCCATCGCCTCTGCTCCCCGCCGGATGACTCCAGCCTTCGAGCCCCCCACCCCCCCATGGATACAGCCCGTGCTGAGTGTCGTTCTGTTTTTATTCAAAGGGAAAAGAATACCACCGACCAAGACCCGGCCCCTCAGACAGGGGTCCAAGAAGCCCCTGCTGGAGGGTGACCTGCAGGCTGCAGAGAAGATCGCGTCAGATCCTGCTCCAGAAGAGAGTAAGAGCCTCCCGGGCGGGGTCGAGCCAGGGCCGGCCTGCTCGGGCGCTCAGAGGCGGCCCCTCTCCTTCCCCACCTGGGCACAGAAGAGGAGAGTCCAGTGTGAAGGGGTTTCTCCGGGCGCCAAGCAGTCCTTCTTGGGCCCCGGGGCCTGGAGAGCTTCCTGAACACCCACCCCCGCCTCTGAACGCACCCGCACGTCTCCAGCCAGGCCCTCTCCGTCTCCACCGCCTGCCCCACAGGGGGAAGGTGCCATTCCCACCTCCCCGCCACGTCCCAAGGGCCCCTGCCTTTCCCAGGAGCTTCACGCCCGCTCACCCTGTCCTCCTGCCTCCCCCACCCCTCCTCTTCAGTCATCGCTGTGCGCGTCAAGGAGGAGCATCTAGACGCGGCTGCGCCCGACAGAGCCCAGAGTCCGGCGCTGCCTGTTCCCATCGAGAGCATCAAACAGGAGACGGACGACTGAGCCTTCCCACCACCAGCCCCAGGCTCCTTGGGGGCCGCCGCCCTTCCCCTGCTGCTTTAGTCTGGAGACGGAGCCTTTCTGCCATTGTTCCGCCAGGAGCTCCGACAGCCGGCCCCAGGGACTCACGCCCTCCACCCTGCGGTAACCTCGCCGCACACCCACCTACCCCTCAGCTGCCAGGGGGCAGAGGGCTGCCCCAGTCACACGGGAAGACGAGCCTGTGAAGCGTGTACGCGTGTGTCCTACAAGTCCCGTGATGCAGGCCTGGAGCCGCGCTCTGGAGGGGAGGCTGGTGGCGAGCGGTGTGGGTGCCTGAGAGCAGCCTCTCCCCCTGGGCTTGGCGCTCTGCTCCTGCCAGCACCCGGGGGAGGCCAGGGAACCCCGCGCAGGCAGCTAAGCAGCAATGACCAGGAGGCAGGTTCTGGTGACTTGTGAGGTGGCCTTAACCTGTTTTCTCTGTTGGCAAGAGGACTGCCCCCTATCTCCTAAACAGAATAGTGGCCTAGAGGTGGGGTCTGCTCCGGGCTCGGGGCCTCGTGCCACGTGGGGAGGCCCGGTGGCAGAGGGGGCAGCTGGAAGGGAGACCACCGCCAGCTTTGCGCTAAACCACTCCGAGCCCGGCTTGGCTTTCACGCCCCCTTCTCGCTGTTACCCGGGGCCAGATGCAGTGCTGCCCGAGTCACAGGGCTGGCTCAGGTGGCCCTAAGGGAGCCCTGGAGGGAGGGAGAAGAGGATAACAGCACCTGCTTCCTGGCCCTCTATCCCTTCCTGTCCATCTTTCTTTCTGAAATTACATTCTAGAAGCTCCCCCGGTGTCCACCCAAATTTCAGTTGCTTTTCCCAGTTAGTCTCCTTGGAAACTGTCTCCTCCTTCCATCTCTTCAGTGACTCTTCCTGGAAGGAAAGGTGGAGGAAGGCTGACCTTTAGTTCTTGTCTTTGAGTAGAGACGTGCTGCCGGGTGGGTTCCCGTGTCGTCCCTCGCGGATGCATCCGTGCTGCTGGGGATGCGCAGCTACATCCTCTGAGCTGGTCCGTCAGGCTGCCGCTGCCCGTGCTTGCTGGGGGCGGCGCTGGTCATGTGTTTGTTCAGGACCCACGTTCTTTGGTGTCACCCAGAGATGGGGTGACCAGCCCAAGGGAGCTAATTTCCACTCATTTCTTCCAGCCTCACTCCTTTGCTAAAAGCACTAGAAAGCTCCATGTGGTATAGAAACCAGGCCCAGAAAGTGGCCGTTTGGTGCAGCCTGAATTCCCCCCCAAAAGTAACTAGATCTGGAACACAGTGAAGATCAAGGACAGGGGCCCTGCTTTTTCCTGCTGTCGCTCCCACACACCCCAGACCCGCGGTGGTGACGGGTCCATAGCCTCAGTCCCCAGGGGAGAGAGACATCCTGGGTGTGCATTTGGGCTCGCAGGGAACCCGTGGAGCTCTCGCAGGCTCCTGCTCCCGGCGGGAGCTAGTGCCCGTCCCAATCCACCTGGAGTTGGCGGGTCCAGTTCTGACTGGAGCTTCTGGGAAAATGGGACTTGTATGGCACGTGACCTTCACTTCCTTCTTCCTGAATGAAGTGACGCCTGCCTGTGGCTGAGAGCTGAGTGTATTCTCATCTGTCCCCTCATGGAGTCGATTACGGAGGGTGGGTTCATCCACAAGCACAAGGAATAAACATCTTCATTCGAGCACCCCGTCTCCATAGCAACCACACGCGGGTTACCCTTTACATTTCTGCTGTTCCTCTCTCGGAAGATCCTGAGCTCCCCAGAGGCGGAGCCCGGGCCTTGTCTGCCACAGCGGCCTGGTACTAAGCCCCAATGAGTGTGGGACCTGAAAATACGTAACCTGTGTTGCTGGAGCCGAAAGAGCTACTTGATTGGTCACAGATGGAATTGTGGACTTCTGGGAGGTTTTCACTCCAGGCACAGGACCAGCTTTGTACCTCACTTGCCCTTGGAGAGAACTGGAGACCTTAGAGTCCAGTAGCGGGGGGAATGGGTAGGGGAGAGATGCGGGGGTGGGGGCTAGCTGTGAGACCCCCTGACGAAACATTTCCCCTGCTCCATGACCCGCAGTGGCTCCTGGCGCAGAGGAGACCAAGTGCAGATGCACACACCTTTCCTTCACTGCTCCCAGTCTAGATACCGCTCTGCCCGAGGGGCGGGGCGAGCGAGGGGACCGCCGCTGGAAACGGCCTTCTGCACCAGGTACGAGGGTACACGTGTACACAATTGGTTTTCGCAGGAACCCTGACGTACACGTCGACTTCACTTTATGGGGGAGGAAAAGGCTTATCAGAGTTTAGTAACTTGTTCGCTTAAACTCACAACTGATAAATGACAGCACTGGGATTAAACCCAGGGTGGCCGGCCGTGTTTCCACCAGTAAGTCCTCGTCCACACTCAGCATCCTTGCTGAAGCATCTTTTGTTTGCCAGATAGCATGCCAGAGGTTGGGCCTTGAAAGCATGATGTGTGCGTGGACCAGCCATGGCTGTGCGCAAGGGGAGCACGGCCCGGAGCGCGGCTCAGAGCTGTGTATGATCCTCGAGGTCAGGGTCCTTGTCTTTTTCTTTTTTTCAAAGTAGGCTCCATGCCCAGCGTGGAGTCTAGACCAAGAGTCTCGCGCTCAGAAGTCGCAGGCTGCACTGACTGAGCCAGCCAGGCACCCCAAGGCCCCCATCTTTCTGTTCCTTTGCATTCCTGGGAGGAGACTGCCACTTTCCACAAAAATGAAATAGCTGGGGCGCCTGGGTAGCTCCGTTGGGTAAGCGGCTGCTTTCGGCTCAGGTCATGATCTTGGGGTCCTGGGATGGAGCCCCATGTTGGGCTTCCTGCTCGGCAGGGGATCTGGCCCTCTGGCCCTCCCCCTGCTTGTTCTCTCTCCCATAAAAATCTTTTTAAAGAATGAAGAATTGGGCACCTGGGTGGCTCAGTGGGGTAAGCCTCTGCCTTCAGCTCAGGGTCACGGGATCGAGCCCCGCATCGGGCTCTCTACTCAGCAGGTGGCCTGCTTCCCCCTCTCTCTGCCTGCCTCTCTGCCTACTTGTGATCTCTCTGTCAAGATCTTTAAAAAGAAAAAACATAACTCCAGGGCTATTTGGAGCACCTCACCTGGCAGGAAGTTGGCACCACAAAAGTGTCCACAAAGATCGATGCCATTGTCATTAGGACTGCTTCCAGATCTGTGCTCTAAGGCACAACTGCTCACCTTCAGCTTGGGGTCTTTCTAGAGGTTCCTTCCTCCCAGCCTACCTGACTAGAAACACTTATGAGCTGTGTGCCCCTCCCCCAAAGAAGATACACCTGAGAATGAGACCTTATTTGGAAATAGGATCTTCACGGAGGTAATCATGTTAGAACAAGGTCATGGAGTTGGGCCCTAATCCAATAGGACTCCTGTCCTAAAAGGGGGAACTTGGACTCCAATCTCACAGGAAGATGTGAAGGGGCAGGGAGATGCCATGTGAAGTCAGGCAGAGACTGCAGTTGTGTGGCCACGAGCCAAGGACCATCAGGGGCCACCAGAAGCTGGAAGGGGCTCAGAAGGATCTCCCCCACAGCTCTCGGAGGGAGCACAGCCCCGTGGACATCTAGACTGCTGAGAACACTGAGCCAAAATGTTTGTTGTCCTAAGCCACCGAGTTTGTGGTACTTTGTCACAGCGGCCCCTGGGGGCTACTCCACCACCTCCTGGTCCCCAGGCACCCAGGTCCTGGGGATGCCTCTCCATAGGCAGGCCAGGCTGAACCCTCTCCCTGTCTTACCAGGACCTGCTTTTCTGTTCTCAGTTTCCCTCTCAGGACTGGCCTCTCCCCTAGACACCCTCCCGGTGCCCTCACCACATAGCAGGGGTCCCCACAGGCCAGGGTCCCCGTATCCTCACCCTCCACTGTGTGCTTCACAATTTTCCTAAAACAAGAGGGCTCAAATATGTGAACATAACTGTCAGGCAGGTGATGGAACAACACAGAACAGGGACCAGCAGGAGGCGGTGGCCACAGCGATGGCACCCCTGCTCCTCCTGTCCCAGGGCTGAGCCAGGCCCCAGAGGCCAGGAAGGACTGGAGTCAACGATGAGCAGCAAATCTGGCAATAGTGGCATTGCTTCTAGAATGCTGACTCTGGGTATTCTGTGGCTTCTCAGGCCACTGTCCCACAGGATGGGACAGTGTAGTCATTTCCTCACAGACCCACCTGGGCCCAGCCAGAGGTAGAGGAGATGAGGAGCAGGGACAGATATCATGGAATGGAAGCGACAAGAGTCACTGTCCAGATCTGGAACCACAGGAATTAGGACCGAGAGAAGTCAGATCCTTGCAACCCCAGGCTCTTCAGAAACTGACCCACCCACCAAGGCCTCCCCCAACCTGCCCCCAGGCCAACCTTGTCTGCTCTGAGCCATCATCCCTTCATGGGGGTTCTCCTGGCACTGGACCTGGGGGCGGGCATCCACTTGGCCTTCCTGGCAGCCCAGCCTGGGCAGGTTTCAAAGACAGCAGTTGCAGCCTTCACCCTCTGGCCATGGGCACTGGGAGGGGTAGCACAGGTGGCTCCCACACGCAGGTTCAGCCCCATGAGCCACCTGAGGAGAGGAGAGAGTTCAGGGAACCCACTGTGCCGAGCCCTCCTGGGGAGGGGGCGGCGAGGAGGTCCTTGGGAACTGGGGGGCAGTGGAGCCTGGTGGGTGAGGGCAGACTCTGGAGGGAATCCTGGCTCAGACCCTCACCAATTAGGGGAGTCAGAGGGAGTCCCTTCAATCCTCAGATCCCTTGTCTGTAAAAAGCAATATTAGCAATAATAGTTCCAGAGAGCTTAGGGTGCTCCGGACACTGTTCAAATCCATCATTATATGCGAGCTCACAGGGTCATC